CGCCACAGTTGCCGTGGCCGTGGTCAAAACGGTGCCCAAAAGAGTGTCTATAATGGCTCCGTTACTCAATTTAATGATACTCGATCCGCTCGAGGAGCTGCTCTGGCCATTGCCATTGTCGCTGGCATTTCCATTCCCATTGCTGCTGCTGCCATTGCTGCTGCTCAGCAAATCATTGAAATTCAAGAGGTTCTGCAAATCGACGAAATTATGCGTGAAATTATTATAGTCCCCAGCGAGGGCGGCTTCCTCGATTGTTTCGCTTTGCTCCACCATGGGCCAGGGCCTGCCTGCCGCTGAGGGGGGTATTGAGGGAGCTGTTGCCCCCGTCGCTGTTACGCTAGTTGTGGCTGTCGTCGGAGTCGGAGTGTCGCCACTTGTATGGATTTTATGCTTGCGCTTGCGAATCCTCCCGTTTACTGCCATCGCCAGACCAAACTTGGATAAACTAGCTGACACTTTAAGTGGCGCCTAGACCGTCGCTGGTATTCTCTATTTTATTTGTTAAGTAGTTTCTTTTGATTTAGAAAAAGTCTATAAAAATGGCATCGTCACTTGGCATTTCGTTGGCTTTGAGAAACATTTATTCCATTGAGTGGTAGGATATGCAGGATAATTCGTGGCTTTACATATTAAACAATAACATTTAATTAACATACGACTACAGTACTTTGTGCACTTGTGCACCATTGAAAAGTAATCATGCCACAGTGTTTAAATTCGTGTGTGTGTGTGTGTGTGTGTGTGTGTCTGTGGTGTTTGTGCCTTTGTAGTTGTCGCTGTCGTTGCACAACAAATGCAATTTTCAACACTCGCGCGCCCTCCCAAGGTTGGATGTGCTTTGGCAGCACCTACAACAGTTTGTTGCCGTTTGGGATGCGAAACGAATCGGTTGGTTGGTTGGTAGGTCGGTCGGTCCCTCGGTTTGGTCTGGTCTGGTATGGTCTGTGGGTCGTTCGTCAGCTGGTTGACGTTGCCTTGGATGGCATTACGAAAAAGTCGGCGGCTCAAGGCCTCGTGTGCATATTTCAGATAAGGCCAAATGTTGGGGGCTTGGATAAATGGTTGGAGTGGTAGCATTGAACGCGGGGCAGCGAGGTAGCTGCAACCGAGAGGCTGGGCTCAGGGACATGGCCATATACCATCTCCAACACATGCGCGTGGTTAATTAATTGTAATGCCATTTCTCTTATTGTTCGCTCTTTGCTCTGCTCTACTCTGCTCTATCCTGCTCTACTCTACTCTGTTTTGGGCACAATTGAAAAAGAAAAAAAGAAAACTGAAAGGAGAAGGCAAGCGTGCACTTTGACCTCAAAAAAGCCGAACAAACATCGACAAAACGAACCATCGAGTAACTCAATGGCACCAAATAAAAATTCCATTAAGCACAAATGCCAAACGCAGGAGGCACTTCGATTGAGTGCCAAAAAATTGCCAGTAAGCATTGAAACAATTGCCTCAATTCCATGGCGGCAGGGAATTCTTTTGTTGCCCTTCGCCCAATGTGGGAGTGGCGTTATCCACGGGAGACACCAGACAAACTGGCGACTAAAGACCCCCTTAGCACACAATTCAAAATGTCCACGGCCTCGGTCTCAGCTGGTGTCCCTATTCCAATTCCAAATCCGCTAGCGATCCGGCCGTTGATTCTGCCTGAATGAGCGTGAAAGTGCTTCTTGGTCGTGGTCTACTCAATTTCAGCGCTTTTCAGTGGAGCTCTGATACTGATGCTGCAGGCCAGTAGATCCCAATGGGGCGTTTGGCCAAGTGTCAACAGCACAACTAATTAAAATGACAGTGCTAAAAACAGCACACAGGGCAGAAAAAGCAGAGCGAGTGCAGCATAATGATGCTAAGAAAAGTTTACAACTCCCACACTAGGGGGGAAAGACAGCGACAGACACCTCCGCACAGTGTTCCACCCACAAACACAAAAGCAAACAGTGAGAAAATGGCAAATGGTAAGACGGTTCAACGGAAAAAACATTGAAAGGTTAACACTACGCGTGGTCGGTTCGGTTGGTTCCGTGTTCCATGGACGGCCATGTGCTGGTCGCCGTGCCGTTAGATGTTGTGTTGTCTGCCCTTCGGCGACCGCGATGTTAACGGATTCGCGTCTGAATGAGGACTGCCGACAATGCTGCACGGGCAGCTCGTTTTTCAGGCTATCTGGCCCCACGACAGACATGGACACAGACACGCTCGGAGCACGATAGTGGGAGCCGACGACGACGATGGCCCGACGACGACTGAATGTAGGTCCCTGTTGCCAAACCGCACCCGCCGCCAGTTACCGTTCGAGCTCGATTCGGGAGAGTGGGGCCACAGCCCCAGACCCTCCACTCCACTCCACCCCACATCGCATTCGCATCGCATCGCATCGCTCATTCGCTCAATCGTCCTTGTCGCCTATGTACTCGAGCACATACACCCGAACACTCCGTGAGCGGCGCACCAACACCAATGTCCCTCAAATGCAATGACAGAGCCTCCGCCTCTGCCTCTGCCGCTCCTATATGTTTATGCTTTTTCCCGTCCTTTTCGGAGCATCGCACAGGCTTAGCATACAACTTTGTAGGCTTAAAACTGAAGGACCACATTTGGCAACATGCAAGGTTAAACGGCGAAATGTCAGGGAGACCGAGTGCGAAGCTGCGGCTGGCGTAAGGCGGCTTCCCGTCCAAGAAAAACACTTTCACAATCACAATCCGCCTGTACGCCGTAACCGAACCCGGACCCGGGACCCATGCTCATTTCTGGCCAAGATGAAAGGAAAACATGTTGATGCTGCCTTTTCATAAATACGTTTATTATGCCATTTGACTTTTTACCCCCGCTGCTGCCTATTGTATTGCGTGTCGCCGTGCTGTGTGCTCTGTGTGTGCTATTTGCTCGGGCACAGGAAACAAAACAGAGAGCAACAAGAGGTCTCCTCCCCCCAATTGCTTTTCATGTCTCTCAGCGCAGACACACAACAGGCACGCGGGACACGGCATACGGTATACGCAATTTCCGTGTCGGCTCCATTATGCTGCTGCTGTTACTTTTGTTACGGTGGCTGTTGTTACTGCCAATTGCTGTCATCAGGCTTTCGTCTTTTCGTTACACTTTGCCATTTGTGCTTGTGCCAAGCCTTCCTTCCTAGCAATGCAACAAAGTTTTATTGCTGCGCTTCCGTCAGAGCTCTTTCCGCACAACGGAAATTCAGACTTTTCTGGTCAGCCGTGTGGGGTGGTGGTGCTAAGCGGAGATGGCAATTAAATCTATGGTCCAGCCAAACAATAATCAAAACTTTTGTTCTTCCCGTTGCTTTGCATACTCTTTGTTTGAAGTTAAATGACAGTTTTCAAGTTTTTCAGTTCAACTCGTTAGCATAGCATTTATTTGGAGCGCGCTCTCAGCTGAGCGCTCCTCACTCTATTTACCCAATGCTCTTGCTCAAGGATATGCGCCAACTCAAACCCGAACCCGAACCCATACTCGCACTCGCACTCGAACTCGAACTCGATCCCGTGCCTAGCCCACTCCGATTCATTGGATTCAGCACAGGATGCGCGTGCGTTTTGCAACAGCTGGCTTTCCTGCTCCGCCAACAGCCCAAAGGTTCAAAAACCTTGTGTTTGGTTCAACTCTCATAAACAGTTGGACGCTTGCCAGCATACACTGAGCCGATTGGGTGGTGGGTTTTCGGACTAGCAGGGGATGTAATCCTTCTTAAGCACTGCCTGGGAAACTAGGTAGCCGATTTGCAAACTGCAGCTGGCCATTTACGAATGCCTTGAGGAAATATGTACATAAATATGCATTTTACATAAAGATTATATGCACAAATACATATGTAACTAGGCACTAATTTTACTTTAAATGGGTCATAAAAATTGAGCGACATATTTGAGGAAAATTATTCCACAAGTTTTTTTATTAGGAAATATTATATTAGAGAGTTTTTGGCCACCAGATTTACCTTTTTTTAATGTGTGAATTACTACTTAGTTCGCTAATAAAATTACTTATCATACACACAGACAAATGTGACAGATTTAAATATGCCGTCTACATAGATAAGCACATCAATAAGATAAATTGCACTGAGAAATAATTTGTTTTTTGTTTTTTTTTTTTATTATGGTTGGGGTTGTCTCACTGATTAAGAATAAGTATCAGTTATCAATTTACTACATAAGAATAATTCACAATTGAAAGTTGAGTATGTTATTGTATTTAAAAACGAGTAATCATTATTTCTTGAGTTTTATTTTGTTGCTAAAAAAATAATCATTATTGATTGAGTAGTAAGTATAATTCAATATTAATCATTATATTGTGAATATTTCGATATAACTTGACAGTTAATCATTATCGTATAATTTTTTTAATAAAACTTATAATGATTACCCTTCTTGATTGAAAATGTCTTTAAAATAGTTTTGAAAGTGGTGCGGCACTACTATTTCATTGAACACAGCTGTATGTACACTACATGCACTATATTCGTTTTACATTTGTTTGTACATTCTACACCACACAGTGGCGCTTCCTCTAAAGCTTTGGTATTTTCTAGTATTTTATATTTACATTACATTTTATAGCTCATACAAGCTATACATACGTTTAGGATATGGTTTATAGGGTCTTCTTTCTGCATAAATTGAGTACGTCATGGAAAAATGAAGTAATTTATTACCGCAAGATTAGAATATTCGATATTTCTCAAAATACAGCTCTTACAGCTGTCAAACGAAAAAAACAACTCTGACTGTAGCCAGCGCATAGCTTTTTGTCTCGTTCTATAGATACAGTTTTGCGTTGGTGAGAACAGGTACTGTGTCACATAGTCAGAAACACATCAGCGTGCTCACTCGCACTTACAAAGCATGGCATGACAATTAAATTAGCAACCAACCCCCTACAGTGCATGCGAGCAGGCACGCAGCTGCCTTCACGAATTTTCCATGAGACAGCGACAGTGCTTGGGTCGGCAGGGTATAAATAGAACTGACCGTGCCAGATAACGCCACTCGCAAAAAAAAAGTGTTTAAGTTCAGTCACAGTGTCTCTAAAGAAAAAAGTTATATATTTATAAAAAAATAAAAATATTCACTATTGCTGGCTAGCATATAGTATTCATCACCAAATATGGAAAAGTGTGGAAAACGTGTCGCAAAAGCGAAGCAAAGGCCCTATTCCAGTATAGAAAAAACGCCAACGTAGTCTTGCTCGACGTGGGCAATATTTGCTCACAAATTTAAACAAAGAAGCACGATGAAGAAGTGTATTAGTCATCGATTTGGCCGTCAGCTTCGGGGAATTTCACAATGCGGAACGCTGGGAAAGCAGGAAAGGCGCAGTTTCTCGTTTTTGGCTAGAAAGTGACTCTCTAGGCAGGATGAGGCAATCCAGGAGGTTCAGGAAACTCTCTCGAAACTGTCCCAGACGGGTGCAATGGCGGCAGCCCTGACCCACAGTGTACGTGGATTTGATAAATTGGGATAGGAAGCCAGGTACAAACAGCAGAAAATCAAGAGTGACATATTTTAATGCACCTTGTAATTCGTAAGCAAAAAAGTAGTCTTAAGAACTAGATACTTGTCGAATGTCGATCTGCAGGAAAAAACTTATTTTCTCACTCCCCATTTCGTGGCCACACGTTTGTCGTGGCCTTTTCTGATACCAAATTATGTCAAATTCGGACTATTTCAGCGCATTGCGTAATCAGGAATTTTTTTCCAGAACAATTCCACGCGTCTCGAATCATGGCGAAAATTCTCGATTTTTCCTTTCAACCCCCCAAACCGAATCATTTGCCACCACCTGGCCTGCTCTGAAAATAACCTTTTTGTAGCCCTCTCTCTCTTCACTTACATGTTATGTGTATGTATATTCATCTCGCTCCCACTTGTGGGTTACAGATATCCATACTACATTCGGTTGTACTCGTACTGACGTCAACAGCAGAGCAGCTGCAATAAGTACATGGGTGTGAATTTCTCTTCCATGTATTTTCTTTTCTTCTACGAATATATATATATTTTCCCATATGCTGGGTCTAGGGAAAATTTCATTACTTTACGTTTCTTCATCCCTGTTGCTGTTCTTCTATTGGCATCTATCTTACCTACGTTTAAGTTTCGTAGTCGTTATGACATTTACATAGCTGATAATCTTATTTTTAATTATGCAATATGCAACTCTGACACACCACTTAACCAAGCAATATGTATTTCTTTCTCTAAACTTTATAGTTGGGCGTTGAATGTTGATACGCAGCGTTTTCGATCGATCCAAGTAAAACTCTGTACCCTTCGCGAGCAAAAGGCAGATGAAGTGCTGAAAATGCACTTCGGCCGATGTACGCGTTTGCCGAAAGTTTTGGCTGCGTCCCTGACTCGGCCTTAGTGTCGCTTGTTGGGGTCTGCAGACTGACCAGGGTGCGTCGTTTCTATCAGATTGATTGTGCGGATTGTGTTATAGGAACACCGGTGTATCGACTTCTCTGCTCTACTAAGGGTGAACCATACAAAGGGCCTTCTGTTGCTTACCCACCATCGAACAATACCAAAACCGGGCAGATATACGTACATATAACTCGGTTCTGACATCGATACATTGAATCTGTTCACACGTCGTCTTTGGAGTAGCAATTGAACCAACCAACCAGTCGAAAACAATCGCAGTTGGTTGCCAACCATCTTTTCTGTGGCTAAACACTTTGTAGTGAACTCAAAGCGGAATCAGTTCCACAACAACAATGTGTTAAGTTCTTAATTATTTGAAATTGTTTACAATTTTTTGTTTGTTTTTGTACACTCTACGACTTTATAATTACTTATACTGATGTAAAATTACTTGTCGAAACAAAACTGAGAATAAGAAAATGGAAAAAAATGCATTACAAAAGAGCTCATCTATATCTATGGAAAAGAAGCAACAAAAAAGTGAATAAAATTCAAAAATTCCAAAAATAAATCTCAAAACATTGCTCGTCATATTTTTTTATTTCAAGCTTAAATTCAATTTCAGTTAGATCATCCAACCTTTTTACAAAGCGCTGCAGCAGTTAGCTCATCGAGGAAGGGTTGCTCTCAGCTTCCCAATAAAATTACGATTCATATACGAAACACCCGAAAAAAAACAGAATTCTCTGTACTTGCGACTCTACACGAAGAAGGGCCAGTCATCAATTCCAATACTAAATGTTTACAATAAAGTAATTAGTTCCTGATATCCCATTTAGGTAATGGTTCACACTTCTAATGGCTGCCAAAGCATACAAGTACGTAAATATTTAGCTTTTAAAGTGTCTAAACGATGTTTTGGTAAAACAATATTACGGAGTTCTCGGAATAAAGTCACAACTTTAACACGTCAAAGGTACTAGACTTACGGATGGTAGCAGACAATCAAAGGATAGAATTATTCATTTCATTAATACAAGCCTCAATTTGATGATTATGACTCGCCAACGTTAGCTGACTATGGAATTTTCCCTTAAATAATTTATAATAAAATAATAAATATGTATGTGTATCCTAATACACTTATAAAATATCCTGCTATAGCAGCCATATTAACTATATTTATTAAAAGCACCCACCATTTTATAAGGCTTTTAAAAAATGCAGAAAATCGTTGGTTGTCAAAAGTTTAAGGTATAAGCATCACATTGTTCAATATGACACACTGAAATCAAATGAACTCTCACCAAAAATAATTTCATTTTAAACATGGTAATTTACAGCATTGGCATAATTTCCGCATCATTTTTAAATATGGTAGGTAGGTTTCATGTTTGCGTATATTATTTTCTTCAACAAAATAGGTAGGTTTAATTCCACAGTTTCCACTTTCAAAACGGTATTTTATATTACAATTTCTTCATCTCGGATCGGATATTCTTAAAGAACCGCAGCAAGCCACTTTATTCTAACGTGTTGACAAGTAGGCTGGGATTATAATGAAATTCATCTGAACAGTGTTAAGCAAAAACGTTCAAAACTATAATCAAATAGGTTATTTCTTTGTGAAATTTAATTTTATATATTAACGGAGAATAAATCATTCACGGGGTATCCAAGTAATGAATTCTGTAAATGCGACATCGTCGCCAATAAGTACGGAGGTATATTTGTATGTATTAACCTGAAAAATGCGTCAAGAAATATATAACTTAGTTGACGAAAATTGGTTCTTTCCCCCCTATACCTCAATTTCTCCTTGAGCCAAATGAAAAAATTAATTAGTTCACTGAATAACGGGCTATTATGACCCACATTCACTTATAAAGAAATATAAATCCTAAGAGTTTTAGCTGATCAAAATAGGTAGGCCATGTGCAAAGTTTCAAGATGGTTGTGATCTCTTCATCGCAATGAGAACGGTAAATCAAAGAGCGAATACGGACTTCTCTCAACATGGTGGGCAGGAATTCTTCTGAATTGTATATGATTTTATGGTTACAAACCCCTCTCCCTCGTGCGTTACCCACTCATATTCCGACTATCACTCCAAACCCCAAATGGAAAACTCTTCTGATATTAAGTTAATACTATGATTATTACCCCATTTCCTTAGTGACATACGACATGTATGTATGTAATTTTCAACTATAATAGGTAGGGGTATTTAGCTCACCAAAATAGGTAGGGTGCGTGCAAATGTTTTAAGATGGTTTTGATCTCTTTATAGCAAGGAGAATAGGAAATAAAAGACCGATCATTGACTCTTCAACATGATAGGTAGGAACTCTTCTGAATTGTATATGATATCTAAGTTATGAACCACTTTCAGTCGAGATTTCCCCTCTCTTATACCGACTATACCTTCATCCCTCCACAAGCCTATTGAAAACCGGAATTAATTTACAGAATAAGGGGTAGGGACTCTAAGGACTCTTAGCTGGTATATATATAATACTGTGATTATGACCTACTTTCCCTAGTGAATTAAAGGTAGGGACTCTTATGATATGTATATTTACCTTTCCCTTGTGACATACAACAGGGATATATGGAATTTTCAACTATAATGGGTCCTGATAATAAACGTCCTGATGTTTCAGCTCAAAATGTTTTAAGATGGTTTTGATCTCATGATTGCAATAAGAACAGGAAACAAAAATGGCGTAAAGTGAATTCTCTCAACATGATGGGTAGGAATTCTTCTGAATTTTATATGATTTTATATTTACAAACCACTCTTCTTCGCGTTTTACCCTCTGATATACCGACTATCCCTCCATCACTCCAAAACAAAAAATTAAAACTCTTCTGATGTATACTTAATACTATGATTATTACACCCTTTCCCTTGTGACATACGACATGAATATATGGAATTTTCAACTATAATAGGTAGGGGTTTTACCTCAAAAAAATAGGTAGGTTCCGTACAAATGTTTTAAGATGATTTTGATCTGATGATTGCAATTTGAACAGGAATCAAAAATGGCGTATAGTGAATTCTCTCAACATGATGGGTAGAAATTCTTCTGAATTTTATATGATTTTATATTTACAAATCACTTTCCTTCGTGTTTTACCAAACCTCTTCTGATATATACCTAATATTATGATTATTACCCCCTTTCCCTCGTGACGTACGACATCTGATCTCTATATCACACTGAGAATAGGAAATAAAAGTACCAATAACGACTTCTCAGCATGATACTTCGGGACTCTTCTGATATTTATATGATTTAATATTTTTGAACCGCTTTTCCCCGAGACCGTCCTCTTACATATCGACTGTACCTCCATCTCTCCAAACCCAAATGAAACCCGGAATTAGTTTACTGATTTAAAGGTAGGGACTTTTATGATATATGTATAATACTACGATTATGACCCACTTCCCTCGTGACTTATATGGAATTTTCAACTGTAATAGGAATAGGGGTTTTAGCTCACCAAAATAGGTAGGGTACATAAACAACTTTTAAGATGATTTTGATAGCAAGGAGAATAGGAAATAAAAGAGCGATCGTTGACTTTTCAACATGATAGGTAGGAACTCTTCTGAAGTTTATATGATATCTTAGTTATGAGCCACGTTCAGTCGTGCTTTCCCCCTCCCTTATACCGACTATACCTTCATCTCTCCAAAACCCTATTGAAATCCGAAATTAATTTAATGATTAACGGGTAGGGACTCTTCCGGTATCTATATACTGCTATTATTATAACCTACTTTCCCCCGTGACTTACGACAGGGATCTATGGAATTGTCAACTATAATGGGTAGGGGTTTCAGCTCCCCGAAATAGGTAGACTATGTCCAAATGTCCAATTTTCAACCGTAATAGGTGGGGGTTTCAGCTCAACAAAATAGGTAGGGTGCGTATTACCCCCTTTCCCTCGTGATATACGACATGGATATATGGAATTTTTTAACTATAATAGGTAGGGGTTTTACCTCAAAAAAATAGGTAGGTTCCGTACAAATGTTTTAAGATGATTTTGATCTCATGATTGCAATAAGAACAGGAAACAAAAATGGCGTATAGTGAATTCTCTCAACATGATGGGTAGAAATTCTTCTGAATTGTATATGATTTTATATATACAAACTACTCTCCTTCATCTTTTACCTTCTCATATACCGACTATGCCTCCATCACTCAAAAATCCAAAATTAAAACTATTCTGATGTATACTTAATACTATGATTATTACACCCTTTCCCTTGTGACATACGACATGAATATATGGAATTTTCAACTATAATAGGTAGGGGTTTTACCTCAAAAAAATAGGTAGGTTCCGTACAAATGTTTTAAGATGATTTTGATCTGATGATTGCAATTTGAACAGGAATCAAAAATGGCGTATAGTGAATTCTCTCAACATGATGGGTAGAAATTCTTCTGAATTTTATATGATTTTATATTTACAAATCACTTTCCTTCGTGTTTTACCAAACCTCTTCTGATATATACCTAATATTATGATTATTACCCCCTTTCCCTCGTGACGTACGACATCTGATCTCTATATCACACTGAGAATAGGAAATAAAAGTGACAATAACGACTTCTCAGCATGATACTTCGGGACTCTTCTGATATTTATATGATTTAATATTTTTGAACCGCTTTTCCCCGAGACCGTCCTCTTACATATCGACTGTACCTCCATCTCTCCAAACCCAAATGAAACCCGGAATTAGTTTACTGATTTAAAGGTAGGGACTTTTATGATATATGTATAATACTACGATTATGACCCACTTCCCTCGTGACTTATATGGAATTTTTAACTGTAATAGGTATAGGGGTTTTAGCTCACCAAAATAGGTAGGGTACATAAAAAACTTTTAAGATGATTTTGATCTTTGATAGCAAGGAGAATAAGAAATAAAAGAGCGATCGTTGACTTTTCAACATGATAGGTAGGAACTCTTCTGAAGTTTATTTGATATCTTAGTTATGAGCCACGTTCAGTCGTGCTTTCCCCCTCCCTTATACCGACTATACCTTCATCTCTCCAAAACCCTATTGAAATCCGAAATTAATTTAATGATTAACGGGTAGGGACTCTTCCTCTTCCGACAGGGATATATGGAATTTTCAACTGTAATAGGAAGGGGTTTAAGCTCACCAAAATAGGTAGACTATGTCCAAATGTTTTAAGATTGTGTTGATCTCTTGATCGCAATAAGAATAGAAAATAAAAAAATGGCGAATAGTGAGTTCTCTCAACATGTTANTCTAAAGATTGCAACTGGTATATGTATAAATACAATGTACACACAAACGAATGTTTACTTCAACTTCTGTGGAAAACATTATATGTATAAATAACATGAGCTTATAAAGACAAACTGCGATTTTAAAAACCACAATCTAATCAACTCTACCCTAAGAGGGAAGTAAAGAAGTATATGCATAAATCTAATGAATATATTGAAATGTCCATTGAATTTAAAAGGTCATCATAAAAGGTTTTAATGCGATTGAAAAGTATATACTTCGACGGTTAAAAAAAACTGATTCAAAACGGTTCCAAAGAATATATTGGAATGTCAATTAATTATATCTAAAGACTTCAATGAAAATACTCCACCAATTGGAATACATTTTACGTTTAATACAATTAATTTTAAATCAAACTGTCTAATGAAATCACAATGTGGGAATGAATAATCAATTTGAGTACATTAGTTTATTTAAACAAATATTACTTCATTCATTAATTATTTATTAATCTTGATGGCAAATGTGCCTCCGTATTGCAGTTCTGACTGTTTCTCACATTTATTTTTTTTAGAAGAACTCTTGGGTTCCATCAAACTACTCATAGTTTGTTGTATTTTGAATTTTTTAACTTAAGGATTCTCAATTTTTGTATTGCATTTTTCCGTCGAACTGCGTTGGGTATTCATGGTGGGGTTATATCGCATTGATATAATAAGTTGAAAAATATTCAAATAAACCAATTAAAATACTCCAAATTCGATTGATACGAACTTAAGGATACAAATTTTAACAACAAAATTTATACTTAATAGCCACCCATGGGCAACTATATTTTAAATACAACTGTCAACAGAAAAAATTTAAAACTTAAAAATTAATTCATTTTTAAATTGAAAAATAAATCGGCGGTACTTAAACTAAATATTAAATCTCTTATCCATTCAAATTAATTCTTGAAAATAAAGTCCAACAGCGTAACCAAGTTTCGTAATTATATTTAAAGATCTCCATGATATAAATATCAAAAGAAATATCGTAATGAAATATTAATCCGTTATGCCACAGTCCATAGAAGACAACTATAAACTCCTGTGCAATAAAAAAATTACAAAAAATATCAATCGATCAAGAAGTTTCGTATTATACCCAATTGGACCTAATCAAAAATATCCACCTATGTCAAGACACATGACTTAAACGAAAAATTGCGTTACTGACACCACAAAGCCTTATTCCATCTATCCAATATTGTATTCCTTATACTCGTTCGTATCGAGAGACTACGAGAATATAATATGAGAATTGGAAATTAAAGTTTCAATCCCCTCTCTTATACCAAATATACCTCCATCTCTCCAAACCCAAAATGAAACCCGGAATTAGTTTACTGAATAACGGATAGGTATGATATATGTATATTACTACGATTATGACCCCCTCTCCCTCATGACATACGACAGGGATATATGGAATTTTCAACTATAATGGGTGGGGTTTAACAAAATAGGTAGGGTGCGTACAAATGTTTTAAGATGGGTTTGATCTCATGATTGCAATAAGAACAGGAAACAAAAATTGCGTATAGTGAATTCTCTCAACATGATGGGTAGGAATTCTTCTGAATTTTATATGATTTTATATTTACAAATCACTTTCCTTCGTGTTTTACCAAACCTCTTCTGATATATACCTAATATTATGATTATTACCCCCTTTCCCTCGTGACGTACGACATCTGATCTCTATATCACACTGAGAATAGGAAATAAAAGTGCCAATAACGACTTCTCAGCATGATACTTCGGGACTCTTCTGATATTTATATGATTTAATATTTTTGAACCGCTTTTCCCCGAGACCGTCCTCTTACATATCGACTGTACCTCCATCTCTCCAAACCCAAATGAAACCCGGAATTAGTTTACTGATTTAAAGGTAGGGACTTTTATGATATATGTATAATACTACGATTATGACCCACTTCCCTCGTGACTTATATGGAATTTTCAACTGTAATAGGAATAGGGGTTTTAGCTCACCAAAATAGGTAGGGTACATAAAAAACTTTTAAGATGATTTTGATCTTTGATAGCAAGGAGAATAAGAAATAAAAGAGCGATCGTTGACTTTTCAACATGATAGGTAGGAACTCTTCTGAAGTTTATTTGATATCTTAGTTATGAGCCACGTTCAGTCGTGCTTTCCCCCTCCCTTATACCGACTATACCTTCATCTCTCCAAAACCCTATTGAAAGCCGAAATTAATTTAATGATTAACGGGTAGGGACTCTTCCGGTATCTATATACTGCTATTATTATAACCTACTTTCCCCCGTGACTTACGACAGGGATCTATGGAATTGTCAACTATAATGGGTAGGGGTTTCAGCTCCCCGAAATAGGTAGACTATGTCCAAATGTCCAATTTTCAACCGTAATAGGTGGGGGTTTCAGCTCAACAAAATAGGTAGGGTGCGTATTACCCCCTTTCCCTCGTGATATACGACATGGATATATGGAATTTTTTAACTATAATAGGTAGGGGTTTTACCTCAAAAAAATAGGTAGGTTCCGTACAAATGTTTTAAGATGATTTTGATCTGATGATTGCAATTTGAACAGGAATCAAAAATGGCGTATAGTGAATTCTCTCAACATGATGGGTAGAAATTCTTCTGAATTTTATATGATTTTATATTTACAAATCACTTTCCTTCGTGTTTTACCAAAACTCTTCTTATATATACCTAATATTATGATTATTACCCCCTTTCCCTCGTGACATACGACATCTGATCTCTATATCACACTGAGAATAGGAAATAAAAGTGCTAATAACGACTTCTCAGCATGATACTTCGAGACTCTTCTGATATTTATATGATTTAATATTTTTGAACCGCTTTTCCCCGAGACCGTCCTCTTACATATCGACTGTACCTCCATCTCTCCAAACCCAAATGAAACCCGGAATTAGTTTACTGATTTAAAGGTAGGGACTTTTATGATATATGTATAATACTACGATTATGACCCACTTCCCTCGTGACTTATATGGAATTTTTAACTGTAATAGGTATAGGGGTTTTAGCTCACCAAAATAGGTAGGGTACATAAAAAACTTTTAAGATGATTTTGATCTTTGATAGCAAGGAGAATAAGAAATAAAAGAGCGATCGTTGACTTTTCAACATGATAGGTAGGAACTCTTCTGAAGTTTATTTGATATCTTAGTTATGAGCCACGTTCAGTCGTGCTTTCCCCCTCCCTTATACCGACTATACCTTCATCTCTCCAAAACCCTATTGAAAGCCGAAATTAATTTAATGATTAACGGGTAGGGACTCTTCCTCTTCCGACAGGGATATATGGAATTTTCAACTGTAATAGGAAGGGGTTTAAGCTCACCAAAATAGGTAGACTATGTCCAAATGTTTTAAGATTGTGTTGATCTCTTGATCGCAATAAGAATAGAAAATAAAAAAATGGCGAATAGTGAGTTCTCTCAACATGTTAGGTGGAACTCTTCTGAATTTTATATGCTTTTATGGTTGCAAACTACTCTCCTTTGTGTTTTACCCTCTCATATACCGACTATCCCTCCATCATCCAAAACCCAAAATGAAAACTCTTCTGATGTTTACTTAATACTATGATTATTACACCCTTTCCCTCGTTACATACGACATGGATATATGGAATTTTCAACTGTAATAGGAAGGGGTTTTACCTCAACAAAATACGTAGGTTCCGTACAAATGTTTTAAGATGGGTTTGATCTCTTGATCGCAATGAGAACAGGAAATAATAGAGCGAATAGTGACTTTTTACAAGATAGGTAGAAACTCTTCTGAATTGTATATTATATCTCAGTTGTGAACCACTTTTACTCNTTGAACCGCTTTTCCCCGAGACCGTCCTCTTACATATCGACTGTACCTCCATCTCTCCAAACCCAAATGAAACCCGGAATTAGTTTACTGATTTAAAGGTAGGGACTTTTATGATATATGTATAATACTACGATTATGACCCACTTCCCTCGTGACTTATATGGAATTTTCAACTGTAATAGGAATAGGGGTTTTAGCTCACCAAAATAGGTAGGGTACATAAACAACTTTTAAGATGATTTTGATAGCAAGGAGAATAGGAAATAAAAGAGCGATCGTTGACTTTTCAACATGATAGGTAGGAACTCTTCTGAAGTTTATTTGATATCTTAGTTATGAGCCACGTTCAGTCGTGCTTTCCCCCTCCCTTATACCGACTATACCTTCATCTCTCCAAAACCATATTGAAATCCGAAATTAATTTAATGATTAACGGGTAGGGACTCTTCCTCTTCCGACAGGGATATATGGAATTTTCAACTGTAATAGGAAGGGGTTTAAGCTCACCAAAATAGGTAGACTATGTCCAAATGTTTTAAGATTGTGTTGATCTCTTGATCGCAATAAGAATAGAAAATAAAAAAATGGCGAATAGTGAGTTCTCTCAACATGTTAGGTGGAACTCTTCTGAATTTTATATGCTTTTATGGTTGCAAACTACTCTCCTTTGTGTTTTACCCTCTCATATACCGACTATCCCTCCATCATCCAAAACCCAAAATGAAAACTCTTTTGATGAATTATTACCCCCTTTCCCTCGTGACATACGACATGGATATATGGAATTTTCAACTGTAATAGGTAGGGGTTTTACCTCAACAAAATACGTAGGTTCCGTACAAATGTTTTAAGATGGGTTTGATCTCTTGATCGCAATGAGAACAGGAAATAATAGAGCGAATAGTGACTTTTTACAAGATAGGTAGAAACTCTTCTGAATTGTATATTATATCTCAGTTGTGAACCACTTTTACTCTAGATATCCCTTCTTTTATTCCGACTATACCTCCATCTCTCCAAAACCCTATTGAATACCGGAATTAATTTACTGAATAACGCATAGGGACTCTTATGATACATGTAAAATACTACGATAATGACCCACTTCCCTCATGACTTACGACTTGAATATATGGAATTTTCAACTGAAATAGGTAGGGGTTTTAGCTCAACAAAATAGGTAGGTTGCGAACAAATGTTTTAAGATGGTCTTGATCTCTTAATATCAATGAGAATGGGAAATAAAAGTGCGAATAGCGACTTCTCAGCATGTTAGGTCGGGACTCTTCTGATATTTATATGACTTAATAGTTATGAACCGCTTTCCCTCGAGACCGTCTCCCTTATATATCAACTGTGCCTCCTTCTCCCCTAGAGTGATATGAAACCCGGAATTAGGTTACTGATGGACGGGTAGGGACTTTTATGTTTTCTTATATGTAATATTGACCCACTTCCCCTCGTGACATAAGACAAGGAGACAATGGATCATCAGGTAGGGTGCGTAAACATTTTTTAAAACATGGTTTTGAGCTCTTAACGATGAAATCCGGACTCACATTATGGATAGCGATGTCTCGCCCATTGAACACCAATAATAGTGATAGGTACAAGTGTTTGGATATGGCTCAACATGTTCCTTATAATATGCAGACGATACCATACACTATACCTTAATTTTCTTATAATCTGTCATTTTTCCTTGCTGTGAATGAAAACTTCTCTAAAATCTACCACAAATGAATGACGAAATTATTTCAAACATAGTAGGCTGGGCTCAAGGTGACATTCATGTGAGTTGTGTTTAAGTGAAAACTTTCAAGTATCAATAATATAAATACATATTAAAAATTCTCTGCAAAGTTCCCATTTTAAATTAACAAATTAAGAGTGTCAACCTTCTCAAGCAACGACTAAGAACGACTTTATAACATGGACCACAAATCAAAAATGCATTCTCCAAGGAATATGGATAGGAAATATACAAAAAGATTATAAATATAAAATATGTACATGAGCAAAACTATTGCCTCATATCGGAAATAGAAAACCAATTCAGTTCCAGTTTCAAATGGATAAAATGATTAAAAGAAATTTTATTATACAGGGCACATAATGTGAAGATGTCTTTTTTCATGCACAATGAAATAACAAACATCAACAAATAACAAAATCCCATTCAGATTTACAGATTTAAATTTTATGTATTTGCGCAGTTAAGTAACAATTTTACGCACGTGCTCTATACTTTAGGAAATGTACATATTTACATATTTGTTACATTTTATGTAGGACCTGAAGAGTGGAACCCCACTATCGGGATAAAAACGGACTCACTGCTATTTATTTATCCCTATTAGTTCAATATCTACGGTCAAAAATCCAAGAATCAAATACTCGCATCTAACGTATATGTTTGCAATTATAATCGTACCTAAGAGCAAGTAAAACATTACAATACGTAACTTTAACACCACTAATTGCACAACGCATACTGTACACTCTTTATGAATGGCATAAATCTTCTGCTAACAAAAGGGAAAACTGAACATCTCGGATAGTGACGAAAAGTGGCAGTAAAAACGGCAATAATAAACGCTAGTTTTTTTTAACACAAGCATCTTAGTTTTATAGTATTTCAACCTGAACACGCTTAAATAATACTGATCTATTTAGAACCACTACTACTTTTTTTTTAAACGAATCTTTTTTTTTTTGTCATTCTAATACCGAAAAGTTAGCTCGTGTCTTCTCCTCTCTTTATGTAATAGGTATAATTTATGGGACATAATTTGATAAATATTTGATAATCTACTACCAACAAATTCTTATCTGCTAGTTACAAATGATATTTAATACCTACAATATGTATTGGTTGACCAAATTAGTTACACACGAAACTTAAACATAACATTATTAATGGATTTATTGACTGTCAGTTACTCACTGTATGATTTCTGAAAATTATTTGTTTGAAATGCATTTAATTGGTATGCAATAGACCTTGGCTGTACTCCGAATTTGTCATTTGTCTTTTCCACAAGACTTTTTCAACAAACAAGTCCAAACAGCTAAGATTATGAAATCTTAGAGCTTGCTTCTAATGACCCAATATACATCCGACAATATATTCTCAAATGGTAAATTAAATCCTGACAAGACAAGTCCAATTTAAAAAATGTATCACCTCCGCTCACCAAACTATGACTTGATACAACTGATAATATAAAATTCTTTGGAATTACGTACTTCTCTAAGACGTTCAAACGAGTAAAATTTTACATGTGACGAGGCATTTGAAAAAAGCTTTCCGGGTGATTGCCATTTCAGTAAATGAATATAAATTAATGAATGTCGTCCATGACGATTTTGAAAGCATAACTACTTGGGCATCGATATTATTTTATGAATAATTAACAAGACAATACAAATTACTCGGGGATCTGGAAATATCTACATTTATAAATGGAAACGTACGTTTGTTTAGAAATTAGGAATGTATCTGATCATTATGTTTTATTGAGTATGAAGCTAGCTTACACTAAAAGCGTTAATCTTCTTCGCCTATTACTTGGGGTTTCTTGAACGTCGTGTTGTATCTTTTCTCTAAGCTATGTACGTGTATACTTTTCTCAAGCTATCCTTTTCCCAAACCTACGTGAATACCTTTATTCCACTATTGCTTTACCATTATCCTATTGACAATCTCTTCTGATTTCATTGTCTGTGTATTAACTCAAATATTTTATGTATTTTTTGCCACTCCGCTCCGTATTTGGGAATTCTTTTTCGTATTTACTTCTGTTGTTCAATATGGAAAAAAGTTAACCAATCTGCCAAAAACAATGAAGCACAACTAATTGCATTTTAATCGTAATTGGAAATGGAACACACATTTTTCAATTCTTCAATAGAGATAGCTATATACCTGAACAGATCTGCTCTAAGAAAAGAAATTCGAAGAATTTGTAAATATGTATGGAACATTCGTAAATACAAACATATCCACATACATATTTTACTTTTGAATAAGCTACTCAAGATAATTTAATCCATCATTATCTAATTGCTATGGTAGCTAAATCATTTTGTCAACGTATGATTACATTACCGAAACAACAATAATCTAATCAAATTGCATGCATAATATTGCATATGTGTATGTACCTATGTAATATTATTCTGTAAATTCATGTATTACCCTTGATTTGGATACTTGGAGAACAACAAAACACTTGCTAAATGTTAACCCATGTTCATGATGTAGTTCTATAATAGAGCACGAATTAAATTTTAACATTTAAACATGGCAATACATATAAAACATATCGAATTTACATACATACAAAAGTGAAATTTAGCAACACAGCTGCCAATCTTAATGTTTTTATTGATCATAAAAGAGCTTCACGATTCAAACAAAAAGAAATGCTTTATTTTAAAGTCATAGACACACAAGACCACAAAAATACTTCATGCTGAGAGCGAATACTTCTTTAAATAGTATTTTTTTTTTATATATTTCTACTTCATTGCAGTAAAGAAATATTTCGAAATAGTGAAGTCTTCTCTCTGCTTGGTTTGATATATATTTATTGGAACACACGGGAAAGCAAGTTTTACTCCCTTTCTACTCTTATGATGCTTTTATTAGGATTTTGACTCAAACATCTTTTATAAAATCAATACATAATGGAGTATAATCGAAACAATTGTATAATCATATAATTATATAATAAAGATTTCCTGTATTTGAATGACTTGTAACAACGTGGATAATCAAATATACTAGATACAATAGAGTTGCCTTTTCTCTAAAGATTGCAACTGGTATATGTATAAATACAATGTACACACAAACGAATGTTTACTTCAACTTCTGTGGAAAACATTATATGTATAAATAACATGAGCTTATAAAGACAAACTGCGATTTTAAAAACCACAATCTAATCAACTCTACCCTAAGAGGGAAGTAAAGAAGTATATGCATAAATCTAATGAATATATTGAAATGTCCATTGAATTTAAAAGGTCATCATAAAAGGTTTTAATGCGATTGAAAAGTATATACTTCGACGTTTAAAAAAAACTGATTCAAAACGGTTCCAAAGAATATATTGGAATGTCAATTAATTATATCTAAAGACTTCAATGAAAATACTCCACCAATTGGAATACATTTTACGTTTAATACAATTAATTTTAAATCAAACTGTCTAATGAAATCACAATGTGGGAATGAATAATCAATTTGAGTACATTAGTTTATTTAAAAAAATATTACTTCATTCATTAATTATTTATTAATCTTGATGGCAAATGTGCCTCCGTATTGCAGTTCTGACTGTTTCTCACACTTATTTTTTTTAGAAGAACTCTTGGGTTCCATCAAACTACTCATAGTTTGTTGTATTTTGAATTTTTTAACTTAAGGATTCTCAATTTTTGTATTGCATTTTTCCGTCGAACTGCGTTGGGTATTCATGGTGGGGTTATATCGCATTGATATAATAAGTTGAAAAATATTCAAATAAACCAATTAAAATACTCCAAATTCGATTGATACGAACTTAACAAAAATACGTATACAATACAAATTTTTAAATTAAAAATTAATTCATTTTGAAACTGAATAAAAATCGGCGGTAATTAAAAAAAAAACTAAATATTAAATCCCTTAATCCATTCAATTTTATTTATGAACTTAAACTCCAACAGCGTAACCAACTTTCGTAATTCTTTTTAAAACTCTCCTTGATATAAATATCAAGAAAATATCGTAATAAAATATTAACCCGTTATGCCATAGTCCATAGAAAACAACGATAAACTCCCATGCAATAAACCAATTACCAAAAATACTCTTGGAACCGCCGCCGATCAAAAAGTACCGTAATGTACCCAATTGGACCTAATCAAATATATCCACCGTCAAAACACAAATTTGATATACTCGTTCTTATCGTATTGTCGTGCAGCTAATCGCTTTTGGCTTTTACTTAAAATGTTTAGTTTATTAGCTTAAAACAGCAACCGAATATCGCTTGACGAAATATTTAGAAAATTATATGAGTGTTCCTCATAACTTTCGTAACTCGTAACTTTATCTTTTGGGCGACATGAAAACAAACCCTTCTACATAACGAGAACCAAATTTCTTAATATTCTAATGAAGATTTTAATTTGAATGTCAGGTAGCTTAAACTACCACAATACCAAATACTTGAATATCCAACCAATACATGTTGATTATTGTGCTACATACTCGTATATTCGCAGCAACCCATTGTTTAATCTGCATATTGCTGTTCCCTCCAAAATATACGAAAAATTCAGTTTCTTTATTGTGCTAAATTTTTTCGCAAATACTTGCTAATGAGCAGTTTGAAATTGATTTATTATTATTATTCATTAGACTCCGCGCTTCGATATCTTACTCTTTTAGACTACTTACTTTTATTAACCAAGTTTACATTAACATTATATTCTCAATTGACAAAGAATTGCGTAAAAAACGTTAATTGAACGTTAGCTGATAACAAAGACAACACAAGTCCTATTTACAAACTGTATCACCTCTAAAATAAATCTTTTCGGAATTCTCTACTTACGTAAATGTACTTATGTACAAGCTAGGTACAATCGAACAAATGACAAAACATTAAAAAATTATTTCCGGGTGATTGATATTTCAATTAATGAATATAATATTTATATTATAAATGAATGAATATGCGTATATGACGATTTTGACAGCATGACTATTTGGGCATCGATCTTATTTTATGAACAATTAACAAGACAACAAATATTACTCGGGGATCTTGAAATATCTATATTAGGAATGTATCTGATTATTATTTTTTAGTGAGTATGGGTTTTCTACGTATCGAATGGTTGTTAAAGGCAGTATGTTATTAAAAAATGTACTAAAAATCCTTGTGGCTTCTCGAACTATCCTTCTCCTACGTGAATACATTTATTCCACTGTTCATACATAATGCTTTATCATTATCATTTTGACAATCTCTTCTGATTTCATTGCCAGTTTATTAACTCAAATACTTTATGTACGAGTTTGTTGCCTCTCCGCTCGGTGTTTTTTTTTTATATTTACTTCAGTTGTTTGACATATACACCTAAAACTTGGAAAAATGTTAACCAATCTGCCAAAAACAATGTTTTATCGTCTATCAACTGAAAAACTGCAGCACAGCTAATTGATGTATAATCGTAATTGGAAATGAATACAAACACATCCTTGAATTCTTCAATAGAGATAGCTATATACTTGTGCAGATTTGCTCTGAGATCAAAAATTTGAAGAAGTATGTATGGAACATTCGTAAACACAAAAATACATACATCTTATCCTTTGGAGATAGCTATCCAGATTATTTAATCCATCATTATCTAAATGCTATGGTAGCTAGAGTATTTGGAACTCGTAAAATTAACCGAAACTATTCCAACCACATTGCATGCATAATACTGCCTATTTATGTTATTACCAGTCGACAGGGATTTTTGATTGCAGCGCAAAGATAATATTTTATGACGGGCTTGCTTTATTGGCCAACAAGAAACCACATTTATATTATTTTATTTTATTGTTATAATACTATTTATTTGATGCAGAAACATTTTTTCTGCTGAGAGCGAATACTTCTTTAAAAATTACTTGTTCTTGCTATTTTTGCTTCATTGTATAACAATAAATATTTAGGAATAGTGAAGCATACTCTCTGCTTGGTTTGATATATATTTATTGGTACACATTGGATTGCGAGTTTCACTCGCTTTCTACCTTTCCGATGCTTTAATCGGGACTTCGACTCAAACATTTTTTTATAAACTCAATACATAATGGAATATAATCATATAATTATACAACAAAGATTTCCGGAATTTGAATGAATTGTAACAGTATGTATAATCATATAAACATTTACTATAAAGATTGCAACTGATATATGCAGAAATACACTGTAAATACATACATGTATCTGTTATAAGTATGAAACAACGCGTCCGTAGTAGACGCAGTATAATGCATACTTCAATAACTAAAACTCTCATATAAAATATAGAAAATGATAATTGACTTCAACAGACCGCGCTATTCTCAACCACAATCTAATTAAATCTTAGGGTTGAGAAGGAACTGTACTAAAGAAGTATATGCATAAATCTAATGAATATATAAAAATGCCCAATGAATTAAAAAGTTAATGCGATTTTAAAATGTATAGTTCAATATGCGTTCAAATTTCATGCTTACTGATTGCTTGCGGAAAAATTCTTGTTTGAAATTAGTTAATTTATTATTATGCAATAGACTTCGAGCTTCGGTATTTTACTCAGACTACTGACCTTTATTATCAAAGTATTCAATTGGCAATACATTCTCAAATGTCCAAAAAATGAATATATAACATGAATTAAAGCTGATAAAACAACACAAGTCCTATTTACAAAATGATCTACTCCGCTTACCGATCTTAATGATCTGGCTCCAACACACCACATCCAAAATTTTCTAATTTCGAGAATTGTGAGGAAGCAAGACATTTTTGACACAAAAAACTTCTACTCCATAATTCAATGAATATAATCTAAACTAATTTTTTTTTTTAATTATGTACTCACATATGTAAAATGCACAACTTTAGAAAACAATGTATTCCGGGTCATTGATATTTCAGTAAATGAATATAAATGAATGAATAAGCGTCCATGACGATTTTGAAATCATAACTACTTGGGCATCGATATTATTTTATGAATAATTAAAAAGACAACAAATATTACTCGGGGATATTGGAAACTTACGTTTGATTTGATATTTGGAGTGTATCTGATTATTATGTTTTATTGAGTATGCAGCTTATACGTATGGAATGGTTGGAAAATGTACTACAAATCGATGTCTATCGTTTATTCATAATTGAGGGAATACGTATATTTTTTACCGAATCCTTGGAGTTTCTCTAACGTCGTTGTGTATCTCCTGTTCTCTTAACTATTTACATTATCCTTTCTCCAAAACTACCGTTATACCTTTATCCCACTATTCAGACATAATGCTTTATCATTATCATTTTGACAATATTTTCTGACTTATTTTCTGTGTATTAACTCAAATATTGTATGTACGTATAAACTATCAATGCGCTTGGTGTTTAGGAATTGTTTTTCATCGTCACTTCTGTTTACAATATGTGTAGAATTATAATCATAAAAAATATACCGCCAAAAGTAGGATGAAACCAACCCAGTCCGCAAAAAAAAAGTCTTTTATCGTATATCAAATAAAAAAATGTGGCAAAACGAATTTACACATTATCTTAATGGGAAATGAAACAACTGAACTCATCTTTAAAATCAAAAAATGGAAAGCCTTAAATTTAAACAGATCGTTACTGAGATATGTAATATGAAGGATGTTTAACCATTTATGGAATATTCATAGATTCGTGAAACTTAGATTCAGGAATCGGAAGCTGTAGTCCAACAATTTAGAAGAGGGTCTCCCCTTTTTTAGATGTATTGCAAGTAATGCGCAAATACTTTAGGATGCCTAACACAGACATATGTATATATTTAATTACGTTCCAGTTAGCTGTCAAAGATGGTTTAATCTGTCACTATCCAAGTGGGTAAATTACATTGCTATGGTAGCTAGAGCATTTCTTAGATACGCGTACGATTAAATTCTAAAACAATATATTCCAATCACATTGCATGCATAATTATGCATATTGTGAAATCAATATACATAAGTAAAATGCATTCGGTACCATTCTACTTGGATATAGGATTGCATTGCAAATATCATATTTTATAATGAGCTTGCTTTTTGGTTTCTTTTTCCGTTTCAATTAATCTAACAGGAAACCAACAAGAAACCACTTTCTAAATGTTAACCAATGTACATGATGTAGTTTTTAAATACAGCACGAACGGAAAATCATATTTTCTAAAGGGTATCATTAAGCTTTAAAAAGGAAACTAAAAATGACAATACATTTTCAAACGTAGTGAATGTACATAAGTGGACACTTGCAACTCAACTACAAAACTTTAATTTTTTATTCATCCTACTGGTACCAAAATTAACACCCGATCCACAAAACAAAAATCCTTTTTTTTTAATGATTTGTGGCATTTATTTGGTCCAATTACCTTAAAATATGCTTTCACATCTTTTAATATTACCCAGCCTTTGTATCTGCTCTTGATATTTCTGCTTCGTTGTATTACAATTCCTATTTAGTCTGCTTTTTTTGAAATTATACATATTGGCCCGCAAGTTTAACTCCCTTTCTACTCATCTTACTCTTTAATGAGGATTTCAACAAAAACATATATTTATGATCCCTTAAGGGACACCATGAAGAAGAACATCTGAAAAGGGCTTTGAAGTAAATTATCATGGAATCTTGGTACCTGACAACAGCAATTCTATTATTACTTGTTTTTCAATGTTTATATATGTATCTATGGACAGCTCCACATGTATCTCCACATGGCACTTCCCTTTTTTTTTTGATACTTCGCTTATTTATATGGAAACTTAAATCAGCATCTGGGAAACCTTTTCACCATTTATTAAATCAAGGATAGTACGTCGCATTCGCTGTTAGTTAAATTACATTTCCAGTTTTCTTGGCAAAGTACTCTACCAAATGACTTTCCAGTCTTATATTATGAAAATTTCGAAATCCTATTTCAATTAGATTGAATCAAACAACATCGAGATAATTTCCTCCATCTTCATTTTACTTTTGAATTCTTGTTGATATTCTATCAAATTTACTTCATACTTCAGATAACTGATTTTTGATTCCTTTACGGAGATTTGTTATGCGGTTTTAATTTGTCTTTCTTTTCCTTGCATAAACCGCAATTATTTGTATTAATTCCTCAAACCACTGCCAATATTCTAATTAAAATTAAAGCATCCGATCTTCGGGTGAGGTTATGGATGCATTTTTATCTCTGCACTTAATTCCAAACATGTAAAAACCCCTTTTTGTATGGAAACATACCACCACAATAACCTCACCCACAAAATGTATGAACAAAGAGAGAAAAATTTCAATAAACACAAACAACACCACGAAGAAGAGACCAGACCCACCGCCAAAGTTGACGAGAGATGCCCGTGAAGAGAAGATTAGAACTAGCCAACGCCCTGCCATAAGAAGGATCGTTGAAACTGGACTGGATTTCATACATTCAATGTATTTTATGAACAAAATTGTCACAAAGCGAATAAAAGAATATTTTATGTACTAAAACTAAAATTTTGTGTTGAGAAATATTATTTAACAAGTTACAGAAAACGTGTTTGCTGAAGGTTCGAAACACACATTTTGCATCATTACCTTAGTTTTGATGACCATCACCATTTTGGCATCTCTTCAGCTGGAGAGACTTTTGGAAGTATCTATATCAACAGAAGACTTTCTGTCTAGAAGAATCTCCAAAAAATAACGATAAATATTTAGATATTTAAAATCAAAATTAAACAAGCAAATAAAACACATTGGAAATATATTTGTAATTAGTTTGTATTTGTATTCGTATTAGCTTAAAAAACAAACCCAAACAAGGTAAGAACATAGTACTCAAAACATTCAATTATTGACGAAATTGCATTACGTTTTTTTTTCACACACATAAACTAAATCGACGGCATATTTGCTTCGTTTGCTGCTTGATGCATTTGTTAAAATAGACAATTAAAATGATTTATAAAATCGCTTTGAATATAAAAATCACTTATATCTAATGCTTAGCGTTCACACTCAGGTGGGGCGGACACGCAACCAAGCTGGGGCCTGGTTCTGGTCGCCCCCCCCAACACACGTCGATCGACTCTGCAGTAGCCATACACAAAATTGGATAAAAATTCAAGCGTGGCTTCAACTATTTACAAAAATATGCTGCATGTTATGTTCTTGTTGCCTTTTTATGTTTTGCTTCGTTTTTTGTTTGTTTAATATTTATCAGTTTTTAGAAACATTCGAATACATTTGTGGAGACCGTTTGGAACATAAATAGCACGTTAAAGTTCTGACAATGACACAAGAAAACAACTAAGTAAGGCTGGAGCTGGAGCTGGAGCTGGAATTGGATCTGGATCTACACTGGGCGGTTGATACTGCGAGAATTCTAGTAACGGGGGAAATTGTTGGGATATTAAAGTGTTTCAGCTTAACAATTGCAAAATAAACCAGTAAAGCGCCAGCCAGCTGGGGTGCATGTACTGGCTGATAGAGACAGGAGGAGGATGGGCGTTAAAACTGTTCCTCGACTTGAAATACTACTCAATATGTTTCGCTTGAATTGTGTGGTTTCTGTTTTTACTTGTTTAAAATGCATTCAATATTATTTAATATGTTCGTATTTACTTTTTAAAAGCTGACAACAAATTGAAATGCTTATTTAAAGAGAGATTTTGTACACTCAAAAAATATTCAAGAATCCGCTGACCGGGCACAGCTGCTGCGCTGCTAACTACTGCCGTGCATTGTACATTTTGTACATTACGATGTCTGATTTGTCTGGCCATCTCTATATGGAGTAGCTTTTGCTATCGTTTCCATTGCCGGTGCTGTTTCCGGTTCCGGTCATGATTTATCGATTCGTATTCTCTAGTATTTTCTCACTATGTGTGTCTGCCACTCTCTGACTGCTCTGCTCGAGTTTACAATGTTATTTTCGTAATTTTATATAGATGTTTGTTGAATGTATACATAGTTCTTAGAAAGTAACTCTTATGTTCTGTACGCCCACTGTTCCTGCCCTGCCGGTTCATGTATGTCCCAGCGCCAGGGCATGGTCGCTGTCTACCAAGTGTTTCTGATCTCTTTCCACAATCCTTTTAGCTAACTAGCATTTAGTTACATATGTATACATACATACTCGTACACCGCGTACCGTTGCTCAATTCTCAATTCGCATAACATTCGCTATTTACATGGAACTCAAAGTTACGCTTCGTAAATTTTGACTAGTTGCCTTGAAGGGTCTCTCCTCTCCTGTCCACTAATTCTGTGCTCTGCTTATGTTCTCCTTACATGGTAATTGTTTACGCGCTTATGCGTTCGCTTAGGTTTCGGAATTTCGGGCAAGTGTTTGTTTGCTTGTGTACTACTACTTGAAAAGAAAAATGCTAGTTTTTGAAATCCTTTGGATACAGTTCATCATCATCATCATCATTAATTTGTCCTCCACTCTACCGCTTCAGTAGCTGTTGTTTCCGTTGCTGCTGCCTGCTTCTCCTGTTCTTGTGCTTTCATAAGAGATTTACACAGTTGTTTATTCTAGACCTATATCACCGCTTAATTGTCTTAAACACTCTAATTATTTTAGCATCCCTAGCTGCTGATTCACTTGTCTGTCTTTGTTCTGTTTGGTAGAGTTGTCAGTTGTGGTTTTTGTGTCTTACAAAGTTAGTTGATTGATTATGAAAGTGGTGTGTGCCTCTACTTATCAAAGTTGCTTGAATTCCTCACAGTTCTTATATGCCTATTATGTATTTATGTATTCCAGTATATATGTATATTACTATTATAATGAATCATACAATATAGATGCGTACTTTGCAAGGTATTAATTATGTTATGAAACCAATGCGATCCTATGCAAAACTTTATTCATTATATATACTCGTATGGTATGTATGTATGTACGATTTGCGTAATTTGTACATAAAAATATATTGTATATGTATGTGCATTTACATGCCGCCTAAACGCTACTGCAACCACAGCCACAGCAGCACAACACCTAATATCGAATGAGCCAACATCATCGATCCCATCCATTCATTCTTGTTTTGTACATTTTGCGAAAACGGATTTCGGATTTCCTCTGAATGCATTTCATATTTGTCTTGTATATAGTTTAAAAATGTTGCATTCCTTCTGTGGTTTGTATGTATGTATGTACTTTGTTGTAGGAAACATTTCGGAAATCATATATAAAAATATGCAAGTGCCACAAAACACACTACGAGATGGCTAAAAAGAAAACAGAACGAATAAGCTTTTAGCTTGTTTTCGTTTAGTTCTGATGTCTGAAGTCATTTCTGTGGTTTGTGGTTGTTCTCCTTCTCCATGCGGTGTCTTTGCTCTGCTTAATGGATAATCGTACAATAAATAAATAGCATTTGCTACATACTTGCATTAATAGTTATATGAACCTTGCGCTACTCTTAGTAATAGACGCGTTTTACTAGCCCTAATACAAATAGCGCTGACCTAAGGCTGTATTGCAAACCATTTTCCTTTTTCATATTGTGGGTGGGACACACATTTGTATGCGTGCCATCATCCCTTATTATATCGAATTCTTGTTTATTTTAAGCACTTACAACTAAACAGAAGTGTGTGTTCATCAGTAAAGAAAAAAACAAACAATACAATTATTTACAGCCAAACCAGCTTGGAGAGTCTGGGAGTGGTTAGTTTTCGCCTTAAACATACTACATGAAATATACAATAAGTCTTAAATGTGTCTTGTATACATGTCGATCATAATGGGATTTGGTTTTGTTTTAGTTAATGCATACGCAGCGCTTTGGCTTCTAATGCTTATGTGCTTATTTAGAAATGTGGTGCATATTGTTCTTGCTACCGCTGGCAACTCAGCTGCGCAGGTAGAGCCATTGGAGGGTGACGATTGTCAGCAGCAGGAGCCAGTTGCCCAGCCGGGCCACACCTGCACTCGAGCCCGTTTCACCGCATTTGCCTGTGGGTATAAATAAGAGTATTACTAAGGATTCAGCATACTGTAGCGAGTACACAACATACCAAAGACTGACAGATTGGCCACCAAATGGTGATCAGGTGGCTTCTGTGTGCCTCGGTAGCAGGCATCGCCTACAACCAGCTTGGCTGAGGTGCCCTCCGTTGGCCGATAGGTCAGACAAACGCCGTGCTTGCTGCCCTTGTGGCGAGCTATGATGAAGAATGTACTATTCTCGGCCCAGGAGCCGTGACAGGAGTACTCTGCAATGGCAAATCATAAATAAGACAAAATTCGCACTGAAAACTCTTTGTACGCATACCCTCTTCGCCCTCCACACTGCACAGCGGACTGACGTCGATCGAATTCGGCTTACTGCATCCTACCCAAAGCTGTCTCTGGGCATTGTAGTTGGGCACACAGCCCGGGACATCGCGACGATTCCGCGTGGCCACAAATCCCACACTCGTATCGCTGCCATCAATGTTGCCCAGTACCAGAGACTGCTGCTGCTGCTGCTGTTGCTCGTGCTGTTGCGGCTGTTGCAGATCCTGGGGCGCACTGCGTCGACTGCGTACAGGAAGACCGCGAGTATTGGCATGCCATGAGCCACGTTCCATGCGTTCAGCATTCCGAAAGCTGAGCGTGCTGTGTCTGCAATCAAAAAATCGAGTTGTTAAAACGCCAGCAGCAGCAAACCACGGAGTCAGCTTACCCTTTATGACCAAAAGTTCCCGAGTCAGCGCTCTCGTGGTGATGATGTCCGTGTCCCAAGTGCGATTTACCGTTGTGATTGCGCTTGTGGCGCGTGGCCAAATACGGCGGCCCGATGGCACCGCGCAGGTTGTACAGTCCCTCCATTGGGCAAATCGCCGGTTCCGGATTGCTTGCTGCATAGGAAGGTACAGAGGGGGTTGAACGGGGTCTGCTGCAGCTGCATCTGGCTTGCACAGAGTGCATCTCTCTTACCCAGCAAGGTAATGTAGGCCATCTTATTAATATCAAAGTGATCCGGGGCACAGGCATCCTCCAGGCGAATGGCCGGCTTGCCCGTCTGTATTTCAATGACGTGCGTGTCCCGACGGTAGAACATCATGCACATGAATCCCGATTGGCTGTGGGGCGAAAGGCAGGGGGTGAAAGAGGGAACGGACATTGAAATTGCCGAAACGTGTTCGCTAGCCTCTTGGCAGCATTTTCAATTTTAGCCACTTACCACCCGGTCGTATAGTGCACCACGGCCATCATTTCGGTTGAGGTCTGTTTATTTATCTGTTCGCAGAGCGCACGTGTCTCCATATAGCCGTTGGGCTTAATAATGTGCACGGACCCATCACTGAAAAGAAACCGGTATGAGGATGGCAGTGAGAATAGGAACAGTTTAGAGATCCGTTTGATTCGGTTTGGTTTGGGTGACAACTTGGCCGCAGGCCTTTTGGAGGCGCTACTCACTTGGGGTGATAATTGTAGACGGCGTAGCCCATAAGTGCATGCCAATGACGGGGACCCTTGAACCAGGCTGGGAAGTCACAGCGCTCCGCCACCGGCGGTTTTCGCAGCGACATGATGCGGGAGCCAACCTATGCGGAAAGGGGTGAGCAGAGGGTGTGGCAGTGTGGCATTTGCGGGTAAGTGAAAATAGCAGAATAGGTAGCAAAAATGGTCTGTGTGTTGTGGGATTGCTTTGGAGCTGATTGAAAATGCTTACCTCGGCACTGTCTAAGCCATTGCAAGTGGCGTCGCCGGATTGTGCCAGCTTATACTCGGCATCCTTTGAGCTGAGCATGCTGGGACCGCCTGCAAAGGGTTTTAAAGCTCAAACAAAGTTCATCCTGTTTGCCGGAAGGCAGCTTACCCATCAGCGAGGAGATTTTCTCATAGACAAAGCAGCGATATCGTTCCTCGTTCGAGATGGCATGATGATGCGAGACCAGGCCAACCAAGTAGCGTGAGTTGCCATCCTTCCAGGTCGCCAGACACGTCAGTTCCTCAACTGCAGGAGCAGGAGGGCAATGGAACGGAACAAGGAGCACACAGAGCAGAACAGGGTACGGAACGGCAAAGGAATAATGGAAGAAACGAAAGGAAGGCAGAAAGGAAGGAAGGAAGGATGTTCATCTTCAGTTCCAGAAAGACGCGATGAGTCATTGTCATGGCCAGAGACTCACCTGTACTCTCGGTCCCCTGCACATCGGGACAGGCCTGGAAGCTCAGCAGGAGGCGACTCTCCTCCGTGCAGCTCTCAATGTTGGACACTGGCGACTTGCACTCCCCGTGGCCCCGGTTGTATGTGAATATGAAGGGTCCTGCAGGCGATAAGTATAAAGAAAGAAAGAAGACTCTTAAAATGACCCAGGCCCCAACATCGTTTGGTTCTTTCTGCAAGTACTCACCCTTGAGCGGACACTTGACCGGTTCGGCGCTCTCCCGAAAGAGGGAGTAGAGCAGGGCATCGCCCGGAATTTGGTCGCAGAGATTCTGTAAAGTCTCACGGCCCTTGCAAAAGTCTGGGGGACATGATTATTTTAAAAGCACAAATAAAAATTCAATTAATGCAAATCGCAAATGATGTTGTCGTAGACACAGAACACACAGAAATAGGATACAAATAGCAGTAGTAGTGGTAGTAGTAGTAGCAGTATTAGTATAAGTATTAGTTTTAGTATTAGTAGTAGAAAGTAGTAAAGGATTAGTGGGAGCAGAGTATGTAAGTTGTAAATTGTAGTAAGTAATAGCAACACATTAATGAAAGGACAGGGTTAAAGGAAATCAAATCTACAAAGGGCTATGGAATTGTAAAAGATTTTTTTTTTATGTTTTTTTTTGTTTTATATTTCTTTTGGTTTTTGTTGTGTGCCGCACTGGAAGATGCACAGTGGCTGGGCTGGGAATCTGTGGTCTCCCAGGGCCATCCATGGCCAAGCATGCCATTTAAATTGCACAGAAATTTGTTTAATTAAGTGGCCGCCGAAGCTGATGGTCCGGGGAGAAGATTGCTCGAATAAATGACGAAATGAAGACTTAAATCAGCAGAAATGTCGCAAGTGGCGAGAGTGACGAGAGAGGGATGGGCATGTTGCGGTCATGGCCCCATAATGCCCATCCCCATTCCCATCTCCGAGCTCAGCCCAACTCCAGCTTCAAGTGCGGCACACAGGAGAAGGCAGAAACAACAACAATTTCTGTGGAAATGTATAAAAAGCGGCGGTAAGTACAATACATAAGTAAGTAAGATAAGTATGTAAGTTCCAGAAAAACACAAACGAACCAAATAAAGTGGGGAACCAGTAAGGAACAACAAACCAAACCAAAGCAAAGACTTGTGACGTTCACAGAAATAACTTAAAGACAAGAGTTTTTCATTTTCAGCACTTCCTCGAGCTGGGCTGGTCTGGGATCTGACTGCAGTTGGTATTGCAGACCAGAGCCCCCCATCTTTTGTGTATTTGTAAACTCAACTGAAAGGCACAACACACGTTTAAAAATGAACCGAAAGCAAAAACACACACATGTGGTTCATCTCTGGCTTTGGCTCGCCACCGAGCAGAAGTGAGACCAAAAGCAAGGGATGGGGGTAAGGTTCTTAGGTGGTTTTAGGCAATAAATAACAGGTAAAGGTAGCAAAGGTAGTAAAATAATGTTAGGGCCTGGCAGAGCCCCATACAGTATAAGGTAAGGTATTTGTTGCTAGAGCAAGCATAACATTTTGAATCAACTAAAAAATAATAACAAACATTTACTCATGATGAATAAACTGAGTAGTCGGGTGTCTGGGGTTTATGGCAAACGCGAGAGATATATATGTGGCACATACATATATATTTGTATATGTTTTCTTTTTGGTAAAGGGTCCTCTCTTTTTTTTTATATTTTTTTTTATTGGTAAGTAGTAGAGTTGTTTTAAAAGTAGATAATTGTAACTAAAATCCGTTTCGTATGAATGCACTTCAATAGATACGGATAGATATATATTATACATATATAACACATACAGGCATGGTTCTCAACATTACAAAAAAATCTTTACAGCTAAAAAGGCACACAACAAACAGTTTTTGTACTGGCGGTTTTTTTGGTTTTTTAATTTTTGTATTATTAGTGATATTATGTTCAACAAAACATCGAACAGTTTCAGTTTTGTTTCTTCGTAATAGTACACAGGCTACAATATAGCAAAATGAAAACTGGAATCATAAAAAAACACAGGCACACGCAGAGCAAAAACCAACAAAAAATGGAAAGAGTGAGAACATATTATGATAAAGCACCAATTATGTATGTAATGTGGTGTAAAAGCCAGGATACGGCCAGGACTCTGTATTGTTTGTGTGTGTATGGAAGTATGTTCGTGTGTGTACGGGTAAGTGTGTGGCGTTTTTGAGTAATGATTGTAATTAAGTAGCAACTACACTTTATGAGTTATACAAAGCATACCGAGTATCAGAGGAACAAAAGGTGTGGGACAGGGCGTGGTGTGTGTGTGTGTGTGTGTGTGTGTGTCTACTACGGAGAAGCGTTTGTGGCACATAGTAGTATATCATGACAAGGCAAAAAACGGCATCACAGACACGGCTAAAAAAAAAACGAACAGAAAAGGAGAACAAATTAAACAAATTATATTACTTTGCAGTGGGAATTTTTTTCGGTATTCTCTGGATATGTGTGCGGTCGGACAGACCCTTAAGCGCACAGTTATATTAGATAGCCGGGCTAAATTACCGTACAGAGTACAGTACAGCCACGAGCATACACTAGCTAGCAACACACAACACACACCACACACACAAACAACACTTAGACACTTAGAACGAACGGAATGAAAAATGAGAGACACACACACAGCTAATACGAATACGAGTACATGTACTATATAGGAAGAAGAAGGAAGGAGCACACCGAAGGAAGGAACCAACGAACGAACGAACGAACGAACGAACGAACAAACGACACAAATTGTACAATAACTTATGAGTAACCGAGAGCAGAAATTGTTGAGTTTCATGTTAAAATTACATTAACTAAAATTACACACATGTAAGTAAGGAAACAGAGAATGGGGGAAGGACCGAAAGAAAGATTTCAAAAACAGAATCATAACCGAAAAAACCACAAAAAACACCAAAAAGCAACCGAAGGAAAGTTACAACAAATGAAGAGACACAAACACGGACACACAGAAAAAGGAAACAACAACACAGAATCGGGAATGGAACCCATAGAGCAAATAGTAGTAGTACGAATAGTAGTAAGTAGTAGTAGTAGTGGGGTAGTAGTAAAGTAAAGTAGTAGGTTGTTAGGTTAGGTAGAATGTAGTAAGAAGAAAGTACAATAAGTAATTGATAAATGAGACAATTATACTAGCGGTCACCGGGCAGCCCATCCCAACATTTCATCATCATATACAAAGATCTTTACATTATATATATTTTTGGGTAAATATATATATTTCTTTTTCCATTATGTTTTTTTTTTCGTTTGGTTTTTCGATTCGGTTTTCTCATTAGGAGCACAAAATGTAGCTGAAATCCTTTCTTTTTGATATCTTGATATTCACGAAATTGAATTAGAAAAACAAAGTGTGACAGAGAGTAAGTAAAAGTAATGAGCGCATTGCTTTCTATACAAAATGTGTCTCGAATTCGCTTTCATAGGCTTTCTACAGAAAAAAATGAATTTTCCTGTTTTTTTTTTTCAACTTTTTTTTTATTTTTTGTATGCGAAAACAGAAAACAAAAGCGGTTAAGATGGTGGTAGGATCTGGTGGATTGAGGTTGAGGTTGGGTGGGTGTTGGGGGGTGCGGACAACTGAAGGAAACTTAACAAACCGTTAAACGAAATTTTAAAGGCATTCTTTGAAATGGAATGGGCATTGGGGTTGTACAATACGATTTCCAAGAGCTGGCAGACTTGATCTGATTAGGAAAAGGAAATGCAAAGAATTATTCCGCAAAACATTATCATACAATAATAAGGATTTACAAACCGTTCGCTCGGATCACAATGGATTTTCAAGTTTTAAAGTTTCGAGTGAAAAAATAATGGGAAAACTTATCAATAGGGGGGATATATTACAAGTGTATTTATGTACATATTCGTCATGCACGGCTACCAATCTTGGAAATCCTACTTTCAGCTTCGTCGGCAGCCGAAGATCGAGTGTTTTTATTATTTTTTTTTTGTTGGGTTCTTTTTAAGTTGCTTTTTTTTTTCTTTTCTTCTTCGCTCGCTCATGGTTTTACTGTACAAAGTTGATGATGATTTTTTGTTAGCAGTGGATTAATATAAACATTAATAATCATAATCATGTACAAATACAAAGAGTTATATATAATATATCAAAAAACAAAATGAAAGCGTCTCAATCGGTGACAACGAACAGTATCTCAAAGTAAACTCAAAATCAAATCAATCGGTAGTAAATATGTATGTAAGTATGTATGTACCAACAAACAAACAAACACAATTAAATATCTGTACAAGAGAATATATGGAAGGAGACCTTTATTTACAGCGTTGTGTGTTCTTGTCATTGTTCGAGTAGTACTCGCTCAGTGCTCATATGTTCTTCTTAATCAAATGTAGTCCTATTGTTCCCGCCGCTATCAATAATGCTGATTGCCTGATTTTGTTCTATAAGTATTCATTTTCATGTCTGCTTCCTATCGACATTGATGCAGCGGTTCGACGAGTAATAGTTGCAGGTAATGCTCCCCCCAATCAAATGTGGTTTATGCTCCTCTCTACACTCCCCAATAAGTCGGGCAAGGGCCGGGGCTGGGGCCACAGACACGCAACGGGACACGGGACACGGGACACGGGACGGTACAGGGGCACGTGGCAGGACAATGGCAGATAAGTGAGCAGAGCATAAAAATAATAAATAAGTATCAACAAAACCCCAGGAACCTAACCGTAACAAAACAAGGCATACAAATTAAGACGAATGGGGTTTATGGCACGACTTTTATATGCATACATATACTTGTACGTTTCTAGATACTTGTATACATATACATATGTACTTATAATAGTATATCAACCAAATTGACAATGGGATTCCGGGCAGACAGCGGAAAGCAACCAAATAAATAGAACAGAATACGATGGATCCGAATAGACCAGGAACAACGGAGCGACAACAAATTAATAGAACAAACGAGAGCGAAGAGTGGGAACGAGAATGGTTACGGTAACGGGAACGACGACAACGAGAACGAGCAAAAAATGAATGAGCACACATAAAATATTGCATAAATAAATGAAATGAATTGAAATGAAAATGGCAATGTGAAAATACACATACAAAAGGACATATGTATGTTCACCCAACACGGTCAACAAAAACAACAATTGGTAACACCGAAGATAGGAGGTCGTGCCAGAGCCAGGGAAAACACTCGAAATTGGCTGACACCCTGGGCGCCACTGACGCCACAGCTCCTGGAATCGGAATCGCAATTGGAATGGAAATCGTATGCGAATCCGACTCGGCTCTTTTCCCTTCTGTTCTGTTCTG